TCTGCCATCGGGGGCTTTGGGCAGCAGCACCAATTCCCAGGGTTGGGAAGAGACCCTGCCGCTGCCTCTCCTTGGGCGCACCCCTGCGGGGCCACACGGGCACTGCCCTGCAAGGGGGAGGAGGCGGGCACAGCTGCTGGCCTAAGAAAGCAACCCCCCCCTTTCCCTGCTGTTGGCAGGTGGGCACACCTGGGATCTCCGCCGTGCCAGGGCCTGGCCGGCCCTCTCCAGTCCCCCTGTGCCCAGCACGGCTGCTCCCCTCCCCCCTCCCATCCCCCAACTAACTCCGCTCTGCTCCTCCCTAGCTGATTGGCTGCATCATCGGCCGCCAGGGCAGCAAGATCAGCGAGATCCGGCAGATGTCCGGTGCCCACATCAAAATCGGGAACCAGACCGAGGGCGCCAGCGAGCGCCACGTGGCCATCACGGGCACGCCCGTCAGCATCGCCCTGGCCCAGTACCTCATCACAGCCTGGTAAGGGCCAGCCCCCGGCCGGGGGGCTGCAGAAACCGACAGCTGGGTCGCTCCTTGCCCTGCAGCTTGGACCTCGGTGCCACCGTCTGCACCATGACGGGCACCTTTCATCCCCTCCCCCTCCCGCCCCTTTCAGAGGGGCGATCCCCCGCCCCCCCGCAAATGTGGAGGCTGTTGAAGAACCAGGCGGGGAAACAGCTGGCTTTGGTCTTCCGTTTCCACCCACAACGTTTACTGGTCATTGCAAAACTGCAAAGAGACAGCGCGCTGGGGCCAGACCTGCCTGGCGGTGGCTCATGGGAGCTGTAGTTCGCATGCCTCCTGCTCCTGTTGTCCTCTCTAGGCCAGGCCCCCTGGGCAGACTACATCTCCCATGATGCACCACAGGCACCCTGCTCAGTACGCGGATGGCACATTTCTTACCAGCCCCAGTTCTTGCTGTCTCGGAGGAAACTGAGCCTGGTCGCTTGGAAAATCCCAGCTCTGGGATTGGCCAGATTTTACCCGCCCGTCTGCCCCGGCGAGAGAGCTCGGAAACAGCCTCTGGCGCGGACCCAGCCCTGCGGTGTAAACGGTCCAGGAGCCTTTAGGAGTGATGGGCACACGAGCTGGCACTGGTTTCATTAAACCAGTTTAGTCAACCCGGTGTGGACGCCCTTTGTGTGGCATAAAAGCGGTTTATTTTGGTCTATTTAAATCCCTTTCTAATCCGCGTAAATGAAGAGGATCAACACATTTTGGCAGCGGTTTCACTAACTCCTGATGTCAAACCGGTGTCACTCCACATGAGGGGCAGCCCAGCCTGCAGGGTGCTCTCCCGCCCTCTAGTGGCTAACCCATGTACAGGCATGTCGGAGTCAGCCACAGGCTTCTGAAGAAGGGGCCTGGCTTTTCAGGCTAGCTGCCAGCTCAGGCTTTTAGATCCAGAGGTGAAGGGTTCAAGTCCCCACTGCAGGGGGTCAGTGGTACATACACGAGGGCATTATCCCGCCCTGCTTTCCAGCCCCACTGTGTGTGCGTCTCACTGCCTCTCTCCCTCTTTGTTCCTCCAGTTTAGAGACCGCCAAATCTACCTCTCAGACGCCCCCCCTCGCCAGCCCCGTTGACCTCAGCATGACCTTCTCCCAGCCCCTCAATCCGTCGCCGGCCCCCACGCTGACAGCGGTCGCCGCCCCGGACTT